TCAACCTTTTCTTATTTAGTCTTCTGCATACTGTGATTACAAGACGACCATGAGTTGGACTCGATTTACCTCATTTGATAAACGAGTCGGATTAGAAATTGTTTAAAGCTCGTTTAATTAATAGTTAAACTTATTAAAACTCAAAAATATAGTTTTTTATGGAATTTTATATCGCGTGACTCATTAAGGTTCAAGTTTGACTCGCAAAAATTTAAGTTCAACAGGCTCGTTGATACTGATAAACGAGATAGAGAATATTTAGGTTAATACTTTCGATAAAAGTTCGAGCTCAAGCTTGACTCTACTCGTTTACACTCCTAATCACAAATGATTAGATCTATAAAAAGAAATTAAGGACTTGAGTCAGTAAATTAATATGTGTCTTGTATAGAGAAATTATACATATACATATACGTATCTCATTTGATAACTATTAATACAGATGTGTTTGTCATGCAGAGGAATTGTACTATATTTTATACCATATATGTATGTTTATTGAGAAATTATGAATATAATTATTCTCTTTGATTAGTGTTTTTTTTCTTAATTACATAATATTAATAATATCATAAATAAATAATTATTTTTCTCCAACATCAACATTACCCAATTATCAATGTCATCATTAATATCACTATACTATAATCGGGTTAGGTGTTCATCTAGGCGGCATTTGGGGGTCCCAGTTTTACGAAGCCTACGCAGTTTAGGCGGTCTAGACGGCAACCTAGACGGTTAAGACGCCGCCTAGACGCTCATATAATTTATTTATTTATTTTTCACAATATAATAAAAGTAAACTTTGAATTTTATACTTGAAATTTATATTATAAAATAAAAATAATAATTATGTAATAGGCGACCAGTAGCGTGTCAGTGTCCTCCATGCGGCAGTTGATCCGAGTCTATGCTATTATTCTCAGTAGCCAGCAGCGCCCAACAGGTCTTGCAAGCAGCAGTTTATGTCGAGCCAGGTCGGATCCAACAGTGAGCAAATCATGTCCCGACCCGTGCCATGGATCAATTTTCGAGTTAGAAAGTTAAGAAAGTAAGAAGTAGCATCAGAAGAGAAGTTAATTATTTAAATTAAGAGTTTAATTTTAAGAAATTATTTAAGTGTTTTAATTAAGCAATTAAATCAAGAATTTATCTCAATAATTCTTTACGTAAAATATTATAATATCAAATAAATTCTTAAACTTGTAGACTAAGAGGAGTCGAGCCTTCAAAAAGAATCCAAGCATTCATTCATCATCATCCGCATAATGTTTAATCGTGAAGTATTATGGTTGAGGTATGTATGTGAATATTAGCCTTAGCGGAGCAATACCAGAGTGGGACATCAGTTACAACAGATCTCCGGTGTAAATTTGGCCAGCTTTCCTATTCTCACGCAATAAAAGTTTGTACACATGAGATAAACTCAATGGGGTTATTGCAGCATTGCCTTCACCCGCCGAGTAGAGCAGCAGAAGCAGTTGAGACCAATTTATTCATGTTCATGTTGATATTATGATATCTGTTATTATGACAAATAATTGCGCAGTATGTCTCCCACTGAGCTAGTTGTGTTGCTTACCCCTTCCCCCCTGTAGGTTAAGCAGGCTGGGGACGGACACGATGGGCGAGTGTGGTCGTTTTATGTTTAGTTTATGCTTCCGTTGAGATTATTAAAACTTATTGCTTTTTTTTTTTAGACGTTTTGCATGAGTTTTAGACTATGTGTGAGCGTTACGCTTTTATTGCATATGAGTATGCTTTAAGTATGAGATGAGAAGTTGATAAGTTGAGTTAGCATGTGGGAAGAGAGTTCCCATAAGAACTTAAGTGCAAGACTTAAGTAAAGTTTAAAAAGCAAATAAGTTTTCAGTACGTTTAGAAGAAGAAGAAGTAAGGTACGGTATCTTAGCAGCTTAAAAGATAAATTGTTTTCGAAAAGGTTTGAAATTACTTATGAAAATTTAGTACTTTTTCAAAGTTAAGTAGAAGGGGCTTACATATAGACCTGAAAACTTGGGGGCCTTCTTGTTATACATAAATTCACATATGTTCTGGGTCAGCCCATTAAAACAGAAAACGCAACAATTGGGCCTATTTAACCGAAACCGAAGATTACGAAAAGTATCAATCCAAGAAACTTATTGCCGATACTGTGCCGATCAAAATCCACGCTTGGGTTTCGATCTGTATTTAATTTTATTTCTTCTTCCCGCAGATTTCCAATCTCTCTTTGTAGTATATACAGGATTTGGCAAATCAACTGATAAAGCGACCGCCCAAACGCCCCATCATCAAATGATGTACTTTTGCATGGGGACACGTGTCACTCCCCTACGCCCTTAGCTAGCTAGTAGTAATGATGATTTTTTGTACTTTTTTATATATAAATTCAGCACTTGAGGCCACAAAAAATGGAAGAATACAAGAAACTAATTCTTCAGAAAAACATATATACTACTGTGGTCATTTCCTTGTCGATCCATCACTACAGATCAACAACTCTTCTTTGCATGTTTAAGTTCAGTTTCAAGCCTATTTCTTCGCATGACGTTCAGCTACTTATATTCTCTTATTTACAATTGTAAACCGTTATCATTCTTTCATACTTAATTAAGCTGCCTTATTATCGTGGTTGATGTCTACTGTCAATATAATTCTAACTAGTAGAGTGCAACTCATGGTTTTTACATGCTGGTAATAAAAAATTTGTATCTAAATATTAAACCAATTGTAATAATTTTTTTTTTTAAAAAATAAATGTATATATATATATATATATAGGGATTGGTTCCAATGCATCCCATTATTTAAAGTGAGAATGTGAGACTCATTCCTAGCCACAAGATTTAGATCTTGATTTAAATAATAATTTTTTATTTTTATTATTTAATTCTTTATTTTTAATTATTTAAATATTATTATGACCATTGACCGTTGACTCCGGCGTTGACCGTTGACTTCCGGCGTTGACTTCCGGCGAAAATCGTTGACTTCCGGCGTTGACCGTTGACTCCGACGTTGACCGTTGACCATTTGTCTTTTGTTATGTTATTTCTTTCTTGTTAGGTTAGTTGTGTCTTGTTGCTAGGTTAGTTGTTTGCTGTTGCTAGGTTAGTTATTTGTAGCTGCTATGTTAGTTGAGTTTTGTTGCTAGGTTATTTTTTTCTTGCTGCTAGGTTAGTTGTCTTTTGTTGCTAGGTTATTTCTTTTTTGTTGCTAGGTTAGTTGTGTTTTGTTGCTTGGTTAGTTGTCTTTGTTGCTAGTTTAGTTGTTCTTTCTTGCTGCTAGGTTAGTTGTGTTTTGTTGCTAGGTTAGTTGTCTGATGCTTCTAAGTTAGTTGTGTTTTGTTGCTAGGTTAGTTGTCTGATGTTGCTAAGTTAGTTGTATTTTTTTTTTATAAAAAAATTGTAACCCATAGGATTTGAACCTGGTACCTCATGGAGGCAAGACAAGCAATGCAACCACTACACCACTCAAGGTTGAGTGTCTTTTGTTGCTAGGCTATTTATTTCAATACAACGGGTCAACGCCGGAAGTCAACGGTCAACGCCGGAAGTCAACGATTCTCGCCGGAAGTCAACGTCGGAAGTCAACGGTCAACGCCGGAGTCAACGGTCAACGCCGGAGTCAACGGTCAACTATTTTATTATTTAATTAATGTATATTTTAGTTGATTTTGATCTAGACAAAATGAGTGGCTAAGATTGAGTCTCACGTACTCATTTTAAGGAGTGGTCTCATTGGATCCACCCCCTATATATATATATATATATATATAAATTATTGTCATTATTGTTACTATTTATATTTTAATTACTATCCTCACTTGTGCGACTTACCTCTCTTATATTATAATAAAATATTAATAGATAATATTCATTTTATAGTTAGTTCTATTCTATTCTATTCTCTTTAGTATTGATAGAAAATTTAATTTTTATTATAAAGGATAAGAAATATTGATTTATATAAAAAATGATTACTTTATATATGATATATCAAAATCTGATAGCAAATATTAAAAATTATTTATTTTTAAAATATATATAATTTAAGTTAATTAAGTGTCTTATCATTTCAAAAATCTTTAAAAACATGAATACAAATCCGTATGGATTACTTCAAACCACCCAAAACTGACAAGTAGAACCAAAATTCGACATATTACTTACAAAGTAACAAAAGTTGACATAGGTTCAAAAAACAATTACATTTAATTCATGAATTTGAGTGATACCGGCGGCCAACCAACCAGTCAAAAATCGGACCTATTTAGTAGTATTATTTTTTAAAAACATTACATTTTATAAAAATTACTATTTATATTTTTAGTTTATTTGTAATTATAAAAAAATAATTAAATAATTATTATACGTATAAATTATTATATAGTCTAGTCTTACATCTACATGTTAATAATTATCTAAATATATAATTAATGATTTTATAATAATTGTTATTCGAAGTATTATTTAATATTTTAAAATATCAATAAGTAAATATTGGTTCAACTACCGGTTTGACAAGTGAACTATTTGATGAACATGTTGCTTTACCGATTCTATGATCAGTCTGAATTTCGAAACCTTGGCGGAATGTGAAATTGAGGAGTTTTGCTCAACTCATTAATTAATTACAATAATTAGTCATTTTGAATCCCAAACAAAACCCACAACACTTAATTGGAAAGGCCGTGAAGTTCTTAGAAATATTCTTGAAAGGGCTTTCTAGAGTATCAAGAATTGTTTAATGTGTAAGGAGAAAATTACAAAAACTAATGTGTGAGTGTGTCCGTACAATCAATGATGTGTCTCATTGCCTCATTCACCATTTTCTTTCACCATTTAATAATTGATTATGTGTGGACATGCTGATAGCACGTGAATTATGATGGGGCCACTATAACCAGATATTATTTGTTTGTTATCTTTTTCATTTAAATTTAAATAAATTTCTCTTTTTGCTTCCAAATCGAAAGTATTTTTCTTTTTGTTTTGTTTGTATTAATTTAAGATATATGGATGCATATTGTAATCTATCTCACATTCATAAATATTATAAAATAGCTAGTATAGAGATGTATACTTATAATAATTTCTTTCTTTCAACCAATTATGAGATAAATAATGAGTAAAATAATAATTTCATCATTTCAAATAGAAATGAGTAAAGAAATAATTATTCTATTCTTAAATCATTTTCTCATAGGCCTAATTGCCGGAAAAAGCACGACCTTACAACTTTTTGCAGTTTTAACCAAACTTTTGGAATTTAGCACGAAAAACCTAACCTTGTCTAATGTTTGCAACCCGAACCCAAAATGAAACGGCCGTCTCATTTTTGCCACCGTGTCCGTTAGCTTTACCTATGTGGCCAAACGTGCTGCTGACGTGGTAAACCACTACAAACCAGTATAAATACACGCATTTTCCCCCAAATCAAACCCGATTTCCCATTTTCTTGACTTTCAGACTTCGAAATTTTTTTTTTCTCTCTTTGAAAACATTGTGGTCCCATTGTTGTCGAAGCTCACAATCTTGTCGTCGAAACGCACAAATTGCGGTCCCATTGAAGCGATTATGACCGACAGGTATGCCAATCCTTTATTTTTTTAATTTGTTGTCGAAATTTTGAAATTCAAAGTCATCGTTGGAACTCGAAATTTGCTGGGAACATTTTGTTTGTTTGTGAATTTTTAATCCAGTGTTAATTTTATATTAATTAGTGATCCAGTGTTAATTTTGTTTCGAAAGAATGAAAATTTGTTTGTCAATTTAGGGTTTCTCTTCAAATTAGGGTTTTATTTTAAAATTAGGGTTGATCAAGATTAGGGTTTCGAACAATTTTGAACTGGTTACAGTTTATTTATTGTACATTCATTTTGAAATTAGGGTTTCGAACAATTTCAAATTGCTTACAGTTTTTTGTTATTGTAAATCATATTTAAATTAGGGTTATGACAGAATTAGGGTTATGTTAGAATTGAGGCTAATTATAAAATTGTTATTGATTTTTTTTCTATGTTTAATTAATTGCAGAGACAAATTTGCATTGATTGTCAATATTGGAGGTTATTTTGTGAACTGTGGACCTGTTGTGGAGTATATATGTGGTAGTTTAAAGAGTATTTATGGGTTAGATGCTGATAGATTTGGCTACTTTGACCTACAAGAAGAAATTAAGAAGTTGGGAGTTAACAAGTATGAAAAAGTTGTGTATAGAATACCCAATGCTGGTGTTGGAGCTGATAGTTTGAGAGATGTAATTGATGATAAAGGGGTTATGGAGATTATTAGTTGTGGTAAGAATAACAAAACTATAGTTCAGATTTATGTGGTTGGTGGTGACATTATTGATGATGAAGCAGATGAGAATGTTGAGGCATCATTCCAGACAAAATCTTCTAGCCAGCAAGATACTGATGATGGGGAAGAGGTGAATGGTTTGAGTCAGGCTGAGGCATCAATTGAGGAAGAGCCTGCAGACCAGTTGGAGGATATTAATGATATTATTGACAACTTCACTTCTGTTGAACATGGTGAAGGTGATGCAGAAACTAATAGTGCATGTGCTGGGTTGGGGTCACAAGAGTCATCTGATGATGAAGATTATTTTCCAACTGGGGTGAGTTCATCAGATGATGACCTTTCTGATGATCATCTTTCTGATGATGATGAATATGTTCAGGCAAGAAAGAACTTAAAGGAGTCTAGGAAAAAAGTTCAAGATTGGGATGATGATGCAGGCTATACACATCCAATGGCCACAGCTGAGATGGACTTTGAAGAGGATGAATTGTTACATAATGCACTAATCTCTGATGAGTCAGATAGTGATAGAGAAATGGATTTGGAAGGGAATTTTGTTAAAAAGAGGACAAGGTTATTGTATGATCCCAAGTGTGATCATAATTCACTTGAGTTTCAGCTTGGCATGAGGTTTGAAACCATTGATCAGTGCAAGAGAGCCGTGAGAAGGGTGGCAATTGTGCAAGGTAGAGATATTCAGAATATGAGGTGTAACAAAAGGCAATTGGAAGCTAGATGTCAAGATGGCTGCCCTTGGAGACTTTATGCCAGTGTGATTGAAAGAGAAGGTAGTGTGGCTATAAAACAACTGCATAAAGATCATGTCTGTCATAGGAATGTGCACACTAGACAACTCACTGCTCAGTGGATTGCTGAAGAGTTTGGTGAAAAATTCAGAAGGAATCCAAACATGACAGTTGCACAATTGGAAGAAGCAATTTCTGAAAAGTTTGCAGTTGTACCTACAAAATGGAAACTTTATAGAGCAAAGTGGAAAGCACTTGAAATGCTTAGAGGTTCTGTCATAGAACATTACTCCTTTCTGAGAAGTTATATGGCTGAGTTGATGAGGGTGGATAGAGAGGGCAGGTTTGAGTTCTTACTTGGGGAAAATACCACATTAAGAGGCTTTTATGTGGGTTTTAGTGCTCTAAGAAAGGGATTCACAAATGGCTGCAGACCCATCCTTGGATTTGATGGATGTTTTTTGAAAACTTTCTTAGGAGGAGCCTTGTTATGTGCCATTGCCAAAGATGGTAACAATCAAATTTATCCAGTGGCTTGGGCTGTGGTTGAGGCTGAAAATGAAGAGTGTTGGAAGTGGTTTCTCTCAATTTTGTTTGCAGAAGTGGGTATAAGGGATGGCTTAGGATATACTTTCATTTCAGACCAACAAAAGGTTAATATTCTGTGCAATTTTGAGTTTTTGTTCTTAATTTCAAACATTACCATGTTCTAAATAATTTTTTGTTTGTAGGGTTTGTTGAATGCTCTGAGGGACTTGGCTCCAAATGCTGAGCACAGAAATTGTGCTCGACATGTCTACATGAACTGGAAGAAGCAATTCAAGGGGCAAGCTTTGAAAAATTTGTTCTGGAGAATTGTTCTAAGCACTCACCTTGGAGACTACAACATTGCTTTGGAGGACTTGAAGGCAGAATGCAAACAAGCTTATGAAGAATTTATCAAGAAAGATCCTTCAAAGTTTTGTAAGGCTTTTGTCTCTTCTCTTCCTAGGTGTGATATGATAGAAAATAATGTTAGTGAGACTTTCAATGGGTTTATAGTTAAGGGAAGAGGAAGCCACATCATTGAGATGCTTGAATTTGTAAGGACTGAACTAATGAATAGACAACATGGGAAATTGATGGAGTTGAGTGGACATCCTGACAAGCTTTGTCCTAGAATAAGATCAAAGGTAGAACAGAACAAATATTTGTCAAGAGTGTGTGTCACAAAGCCTGCAGTTGGTGATAGGTTTCAGGTTGTTTTAGAAGATGATCAGTTTGTGGTGGATTTGAGGAATAATACATGTACTTGTAGACAATGGGATATAACAGGGATACCTTGTGTGCATGCTTGCTCAGCAATACACTTTCAGCATAAAGATCCTGCAGACTTTGTGTCTGAGTATTTCTATACTGAGAGGTACTTGAGTATGTATAGCACCTCATTGGAGCCCATAAATGGAAAAAAAATGTGGCCAGCTGCAGAAGGTTATCCAATCTTACCCCCTCCTTTCAAGAAGATGCCTGGAAGACCTAAGAAAAAAAGAAGAAGGGCTCCTGAGGAAGAAGTCACAAGTGTAGGCAAGTTGAGAAGGTTTGGGCTGATTATGACATGTCAAAGGTGTTTGCAAAAGGGGCATAACAAGAAATCATGCATCCTGCCTGAAGTTGAGAAACCTGCTAAGGTTTAAATTTCTATTCATTCATAGTACTAAGATTTTGTTATTTATTTCTTTACATTCTTTAATCATTGTCATTTTTCTTTGTACAGAAGCCAAAGGGAAGGCCCAGAAAGCATACTGCACCCCACACTGTGGTTTAAATTTCTATTCATTCATAGTACTAAGTTTTAGTTGTTTATTTCTTTACATTCTTTAATCATGGTAATTTTCTTTGTACAGAACCCAAGAGGAAGGCCCAGACAGCATACTGCACCCCACACTGTGGTTCAACCACCCCAAACTGAGACCATGACAAGCCCACCATCTGAGACAATGACAAGCCCACCAGTTGAGAGGCTGACAAGACCACCAGTTCAGAGGATGACAACCCGGTCTGTTGAGAAGATAAATAATCTGCCGGTTAGGAGGTGCAGTCAACGCTCATCAGTCATACAAAAAGAAAGAGCCTTGGTAGTACTTTTATATGGAAATTTTCTGAAATTGGTACCAATACTAGACAACTCAATTATTTTGTTCATTTGTTTGGCAGGCAAGGAAAGGTTTTGGTATCTTGCAATCTGAGGAAACTGGTAATGTTTACATGAAGGTATGGTTTTTTATAAGAATTCACTATTTCTGAAATATAATATAATATAATATATTTATTGACTAACATATGGGGTAATTATTATATAATATAATGCAGTTGTCATCTGCAAAAAAGATTCATGTGATTTCAAACACTGCTAGAGAAACAGGCCAAAGCAGTGGCACAACCAGAGGGCAAAGCAGTGGGTCAACCACTGGTAGAGGAAGAGGAAGAGGGCAGAGGAGTGGGTCTACCACTGCTAGAGGAAGAGGAAGAGGGCAAAGTAGTGGGTCTACCACTGCTAGAGGAAGAGGAAGAGGGCAAAGTACAGGGGACTTCATATGCACTCAAGAGAGTGAGGCTGGAAATTAAGATGTAGTATTGGAGACTCAGTAGTTTGAACTGATTTTGCTATTTTTGGGGTGTGTTGGTTTTGTGTGTGGAGACTCAGTAGTTTGAACTGATCTTGTGGATGTGTTTTTGAGTTTTGTGGGATCTGGATGTGTTATGGGATATTTATGTGTGTCGTTATGTGAAAATCACTTAAATGAAGTGTTTTGTTCTTTGAATGTGCTCTGTTTATTGAAAAGGAAGTGTTCTTTGGAATTCATGTGATATTATGCCATGTCAATTCTTGTAACATAAATATGCATAGGCTTTCATTTCCTGTAATAATAATATGCACAATAACAGAAATGAGATAATTCTTGTAATAATAATACATTCGTGCAAAAGGTTTTCAATTCCATTACATATATCAACCAAACATAATTCTACCAAAACACAATCACAACAAGAACCATAACAACAACAATCACAATCACAACAAGATCATAGCCATTTTTACCAAACACATCAGTTCATCTTCAGCTAATGGACATACCCATTTCTACCAAACACCATCACAACAACCATAACAACAACAATCAAACCAATCATCAATACATACATTTTCCTTTCAAGGTTTTTTACTTGAGTTAAGGTCTTCTCAAGAACCAAAAGTACTTCAGCATTCTTGTGACCATCAACCTCAAGCCCTGTCACTTTGTTTTCAAGAACCATAAGTGCTTCAGCATTCTTGTGACCATCAACCTCAAGCCCTGCCACTTTGTTTTCAAGAACCATAATTACTTCAGCATTCTTGTGACCATCAACCTCAAGCCCGGTCACTTTGTTTTCAAGCTCCTCAAGTGAAGACAAGCTAACTTCTTTCACACCCGACCTATCATTGTGTTGTTTTTCCATGGCCCGTAACTTTTCTTCTAAAGCCTTTTTTTCAGCCTTCAATCTGATGAAGCATGTCCTTTGGAACTCAGGCAATGCGGGATCAATCCAATCAAACAAACCACAATCTTTTACCTGTTCCAAAAAGTTTGGTTAAAAACCATATGTGTATCCACCCATTCTGAACAAAATTGCCGTAAAATTGCAGAACAAAATACAATAATAAACTACCTTTCTATTTGGACACCTGTAAAACCTCCGACATGGATTGTCGTCAGTGCCAGAGGTGAAAACATCGGCCTCATCCAAACAGCCGCACAGCCTCCGCACGGGGATATTGGATGAAGCGCTATGTTGCGAATTAGGGCTTGTACGAGACGCGTACGACATTTTCAGAGGATGGAGCTGCGAAATTAGGGCAACAATTTGGGGAAGAACACGGATCGAAGCTGCGAAATCGTGAAAAACACGATCGAAAATTAGGGTTCAATGGATGTTGATACTTGTACGACTAAATTGGGATGAAGCTACTGGATTTTGGGGAAGAACACGATAGAGTGATGAAGCTGCTGGATTTTGGGAAAAAATCTTCAAAATTAGGGTTTGATTTTGAGGAAGAAAATGGGAAATCGGGTTTGATTTGGGGGAAAATGCGTGTATTTATACTGGTTTGTAGTGGTTTACCACGTCAGCAGCACGTTTGGCCACATAGGTAAAGCTAACGGACACGGTGGCAAAAATGAGACGGCCGTTTCATTTTGGGTTCGGGTTGCAAACATTAGACAAGGTTAGGTTTTTCGTGCTAAATTCCAAAAGTTTGGTTAAAACTGCAAAAAGTTGTAAGGTCGTGCTTTTTCCGGCAATTAGGCCTTTTCTCATATCAATCATGTCATTAATCATTCATAAACTTGAGACGCATCCATATATGATATCTTAACCATTCTTCCAAGCAACCTTTTTATTAAAAAGATTTGGTCATGTTATGTTTTCCAATCATAGACTATCCTGGTTCATCGAGTTGCTAGGGATGCTACATCATCTAGCCCCCATTACCGACAAGCTGTAAGACTCGTTTGTTAGAAAGCATGTAATCTCAAATAATAATAAATAGAAAATAGATCAAATGAAATTAATTATATAATAAGAAAGCATAAAAAAATTCAAATAATATATAAGAAATCATATACTTCACTAGCCATTTTTCCAATTATAACTTTCATTACAAATTTCAAAATACCAAAATAGCATTTTCAGTAATATATTATTATATATATACTTATATAT